AGTGGTTTTTTTATTAAACCGTTCAATCGGACAATCAGAAACCACATCTGTTTCTGCTTTCACTGCATTGTCAGTGTCAGTATGTGCAGGTTTTAATTACAGACATGCTGCATGAATTCAGCAAGATTGAAATCATTTCCACAGGTTAAGTGTCCACGTTCTCCTGCCTTATACGCTTCCTGTTCTCTCCAGCGTTCTGAGACACGTTGTTTTGTTTTCAAAAAATGCACGTGGTGCTGTGTTGATTAAGTGTGATGGAAAAAGAGTAATTTGACTGTCGGTAACCAGATTCCCGTCAGACGCTACAGCATGCTGTAAACACTGAAGCTCAGGGAGAGCAGACACTATGGAATGGAGTGTGTTGACGGGGGAAACACTGACTGGACCAAAGCTGGTGCTGACAAAGTTGGAGCCAACACATACACACAATGCACAACATTTTTAGCAGACCCCAGCACATGACTAGCTGCCATTCGCAGCCTCATGTGCTTCCTGTGTCAATCACTCCATTTTTTTTCTCTCGTAAATTCTCTTTCTCATAAAGCAGTCTCATGATGATCTGACCAATATTGTATCGTCAATCCAAGACCAAGACGTTTTATGTGCAGGTATCAAATGTCTCATATGCAGAACCAGTTTTAATTATTGATTTATGTTTTTCAAACTATAATAAACAAACAATACAAAGAGAAAAATATATACTTTTATTATGATTGTTGTTGTTATTGTTAATAAATAACAATCAAATACAAAAATAATGAATTAAAAATAACAATAAAATATTAAAATAATAATAGTTGTTATTGTTACGTTTTATTATTACATATTATTTTGTTGTCATTTTTAGTAGTAATAGAGGTAGATTTTTTTTCTGTCTGTAATCTAATGCTTATTTACTAGTGTCAAAAAGGAAAATCAAATATTGTTTTGCGATCTGAATTGCAAATTGGTTTAATCTTTGTTTTGGGTTGTGTCTAGCTGTTAAGCCCAAAATGTTACTCAAGAATGAATAGCTGTTACATAACAGATGAGTAATTTATGTAAACAGTACATTAAGTTAGTTACTTTTAACACTGTTGTGAATATACAGTGAGATAATGGTGTTCGCTATATACTGTAGCTTAGTTGGTGGCACATGGTGCATAAATGCGCTTATACACTTTAACATAGTCATACACACATCTTATGTTCAAATGCAGCATCAGTTGATTATACAAACAAACCCATTATTGTTTCCTCATGATTTGATTTGTCTTGGCCAAAGTTTTCCGAAGAAGTGAAATAACATTGACTTGTGTGTTTTTGTTTTCAGAACTATAAAATATCTCCTCCTGCGTGTTTTGTTGGCCCAGTATGAATCAGATTGGGTCAGCTGACTGTGATCAGTTCAACTTCTGCACCCTCTCTATTTTTTTTATCTAAATGATTTAGTTGTTGCTAGGACAATCATCACTATTTCTAGTGATCTATACTAACATCTGAGCCATATCATGGGGTGATGCTCTTTTGACTTGGACTAGTAAGTAACCACCCAAAAACCCCTTACGATCCCATAGCATCACCCTGAACAGATCGTCTCTCTTTAATTTGAGACTTTTTGAAGAAAATACTGCACATTTGTTTATTTGCTCTACCAAGAAGGTGGTTTATATTTTTACTTGTACTTTTCTACTTTTCTGTTACCTTAATGTTCAGTCTTTCCCAAACTAATTTGTGAAGCTAAATTGTGAGCTTTAATATATTCATATTTATTTGTTTGCCTGGTGACAGCAGTAAAAAGCAGTGTTATTTTAGTATTATTTTATTTAGGTATATATATATATAGCTTTTAATTGATTTTTATTTCAGTTTTGTCATTTTATTGAGTAACATTTCTAAAGTTTTTTACGTTTTTCATCTAATATTTATGTTTTTATTTAGTTTCAGCTTTATTACAAAAATGATTTGAAAAGGTTAAGTTTTAGTTAAAAAAAACACTGGTAAAAAGGACGTATTGTTTATGTTCAAGCTGTCTTGGCTCTGTTTCTAAGTTCACTACACACATGCTTAAAATCAGATTACAAGCATATGCTTGAAATCCATGTTTATACCCTCCAACATGCAGCTTAGATGTTGACAATATTTTTTTCATGTGTGTGCTTCAACTAGACCACCTCTCTCATTACAACTTCTCATTACGTCCTGCCCTTTTTTTCTTAGTTTTTTCCCCCTCTAGTTTTTGTGGCCAGTTTCCAGACAATAATTAGCATTTAACTTTGGGTCCAAGAAGATATGTTGTTCCAGTAAAAACTCAGAGCAGTATAAACAGGCTGAAGAAGTTCTCTGTGCTCAGACAGGAGGGGTTGTATGTTTTCTAGAAGAAGTAGAACACAATGTGCTTTACGTGTCGGATTACAGCCCTGTTTATCAAAAGTTCTGCTCCCATTGGCCAGAGCCGTGCCGAAAGGAATCCCGCCCACTGTGCCTCAGCCAATCAGCTGCCAGAGAAGTTTTAGTGCATGTGCGAAGGAAACGGAGTGGGAGTGGGGTACCTACATCGAGTAGGCTTGTGTGAAATGTGTGTGTATGTGGGTGTTTGGACAAGCTCAATGGATCGCAGTTCCTGGAAGCGCCTCCAAGTTGCTGCGAATTCCTGCGAATGCTCACAATAACAGATTCCTGAAAGTGGCTAGTGACTGTGGCTGACCAATGACAGAGACCCGGTGGGGGCATTGGCCCCCAGTCCGGCTCCGTTGGAGGAAGTGCCTGAAATGGATCGGAGAGGAATAAAGAAGGGGGTTGTTTATGTCAACCTGGCCATACCACAAAATGCTACTGCCCAGTTACCCCTCCTGTTCTCCGGTTTCATAGACACACGGGTCTAAACAAGCTTCAGTGTTCACAACCGCACTCACTTAACCCCAGTGTTCTTTAGCAGCGCTACAACAGGGTAACAACAGGTCAGGATGATTCCAGATACGCCAGTCATGGTTTATTAAAAGTCATCTCATATCGCGCCATCATCGTTTACTTGCTTTTTTTGAAAATCTATTTTGAAAGCAGATTTTCTTTTGGACATGCTTAGACTTTTTATTAATTATTTTTTCACTTAATATTTGGCAATATGAGCTAAATGATGACTTCACTGTTTCCTACAGAGCTGCTTGATAGATGAATTGAATTAATTCCATAATTGATGAAATTCACAGATATTAAACTCAAACTGACTCAAACTCAAACAAAAAATTTACTATTGTCCTCTTTTTAGAGCTGCTTTACAGCAGAATTGAATTTTGTCTGCATCATTGAAATGTATGATATGTATCATTCATCATTGATATCCTGTTTAACACTGTAAAGCTACTTTGACACAATCTGTATTGTATAAAGCATTATATAAATAAAGGTGATTTGACTTTTAAACATGAAACATCAGTTTTATTATCCTAATCTGACTCGAGTTGAGTTGAACACAATATCTTGCATAGACAAAGTGCTTTTTGGACGGTATAAATGTTAAATGACTAAATAGCAAATTGGAGATCGTTGGAAAATTGAAACTGATTCCTATTCATTCTTTGAAAACAACTGAATGTAAACCGAAAGAAACTTCAGAGAGTCTTGTTTTCTGTCAGCTCCGTGTGATATGTGAATCAGCACATCTTCTTGCCACCTTTAGCAAAAGATGAGATAAATAGATAGAAATTGATGGGAAAATTGAAACTGATTTATATCTGATAAGAAGTTTGAGAGTCAGCTCTGCATATGAACACATAACTAAATGTCTGTGATGCCTTTTGCGACAAAAGGTGAGATAAATAGACCGAAATAGTAGATAAGAAAACTGCAATTCAGTATGCAGATATTGTAATGACATCACTTAGATTTCAAATAGCGATAAAAAATAAATACACAAAAAATTTTTTTAATATTGTGTTTTCCCATGTCATGTGACCATTAACTGACATCAGAAAACTGTGAACGTACAAGTGTTGTTAAATGATTGAAATATTAACATCAAATCTCAGGGAGCACTTCAAGTCAATTTTTTCAGCTGACAAAAAGTTTGTGAGTCTCTGTTCTAAACATTCCACTGAACACTGTTTGTTAATAGTCTGCACAGTAACTGGTTTGAGCTGAATTAGTTGCAGAAAATGTGGAGAAGAAAACGAATGAAAGTAGATTATTTCAGGAATATCAATGCAGTTCTGCCTTGCAAGCACTTTTTTAACTAAACAACACGTCTTCAAATCAGTGTGAAGAATGTACAAATCAACTGTGTTTATTTTTGTATTCCACTATAGTTATCTCTACTGTGCAATCAAATCACTGTCTCGCATGTGAATATATATTTAAATACCAGCCTGTTTGTTTAGTCCTGTGGTTTACTGGCTCCAAAAAAGTCACCAGTTTCTGTGAACTGACTATCTGTAGAGACTATTAATACCTGCAAAAAAGATCATTTTGAGTATAGAAACACCGCCGTGTGACCACTGCAAGTCAGGCCATAGATCAAGTTATTAGTAAGTCCCTGTCTGGTGCCAAAGTCAACATTTAATCAGTAGACGGTATCTGTATCTATGTGAGTGATTGTTGTTGGGATGAAGCTTCCCTCTTCATCAGAGACTCACCTTTGCAGGTCTTAATTTTGGGCCGTTTTTTTATGAATACAGTTTGTCGTGAAGAGTTTGTCAAAATAAATTCAAATGCTTGTTGGATTTTTAGAAACATCATCACAACTTCAGTCTTTCTCTACCACTCTCTTTCTTACCACTTTAATTTCAATTTAGCGTGCTTTATTATTGCCATGGTAAAAATGCTAAACTTTTGTATGGCAAAAGCAATGAGAAATTGTGCAAGATAAGTAAAATAACAGTAGGGCATTGCAAATGGAGTAAACAATTAATATTAAAATTCAAAACAAAATATCAGTAGTGCAAAGCAAAATAAGTAGCGAATAATTTACTACAGGTTGTTGAATGGTTGAATATGAGTGTTTTCCCTCTCTTTCTCTTTCTCAGGCTGTGCGTTCTCGTTCAGGATGGTTACGGGATGTTTGGTGAGGTTCTTCTGCACTGTGTGTCCACAGAATCAGAGATCCAGCAGAGCTTTGAGCAGCTGGAGGGCTGTGTGTGTCTCCTCCAGGCCCTGAGAGTCGTCCAGCGTCTCACGCACGACAAGTGAGTCTGATATAATCACATGACACTAAAAACACCCTGCTGATCTGAAAAATATAATTTTAAAGCTTTTCATGAGTATTATTTGAAGACTTTTAAGAAAAACACAACCAAACTGATTTCCTTTTTTTTTTATCATATCATATCATATATTATTTACATTAAATCATTTAGTAGATGCTTTTATCCAAAGCAATCAAACCAACAAAAGAGTAACAATATATTTTATATATATTATAAAACAACTTAAATGCCTCAAATCAGTATATACAGGTGCATCACACAGACTGAAGTCGTTTAAGTCTTTGGTTCTTTTAATTGGGATGATTTTGGCTCACATTTAACAAAAACCCACCAATTCAGTATCTCAACAAATTAGAATACTTCATAAGACCAATAAAAAACCATTTTTAGTGAATTGTTGGCCTTCTGGAAAGTATGTTCATTTACTGTACATGCACTCAATACTTGGTAGGGGCTCCTTTTGCATGAATTACTGCCTCAATTCGGCGTGGCATGGAGACAATCAGCCTGTGGCACTGCTCAGGTGTAATGGAAGCCCAGGTTGCTTTGACAGTGGCCTTCAGGTCATCTGCATTGTTGGGTCTGGTGTCTCTCATCTTCCTCTTGACAATATCCCATAGATTCTCTATGTCTATGTGGTTCAGGTCAGGCGAGTTTGCTGGCCAATAAAGCACAGTAACACCATGATCATTGAACCAGCTTTTGGTACCTTTGGCAGTGTGGGCAGGTGCCAAGTCCTGCTGGAAAATGAAATCAGCATCTCCATAAAGCTTGTCAGCAGAAGGAAGCATGAAGTGCTCTAAAATTTCCTGGTAGATGGTAGCGTTGACTGTGGACTTCAGAAAACTCAAACTGCACCCTGTTTTCTGCACTAATTGTGAATAATTAGTGAACCTTACTGCACTCCATTGAACTCAAAGTTAATATGAGCTCCTGTTCCCACCCTCTCCGGCTCAGATTAGCAGCTCACCGTGTCAGTGTATCTGCTCACTCAAGGTTGTCTGCGTGGTCACTGCTTTAACATTTGTGTTGTTTAAGTTAAAGATGGCACGTGATGGGAAATTCTGGTGACACGTTACCACAGATATGAACATGAGCCATGTAAACGGATACCCAAGATTCCTTTCAACATGCACTGCTTATTTGGAATCAACGGCCATCTATATGGTGAGATTAGGGTTAGGGCACTTAAAGGTGGGGTAAGCGATTTCTGGTAGCCAATATTGACATTTGAAATCACCAAAACAAACACGCCCCTACCCTAAAAGGGTCTCGCCCCTATTTTGATAGCCACACATGCGTACGCAAGCCAGGCAACGATTAGTTCTGTGAAACAAAGCAAAACCAATGTTACACCGTGTCTACACTGGACACGAGTGGCGTGGCGCGACGAAATACTATGGAACTCATTATAATCAGTGATGCTGTCTACACCATAGATATATATATATATACATATCTATGGTCTACACTGGATGTGGCGCGGCACGACACGACAAATCCCCGACAGAAAACTGCTGCTGCGTTCTGTTCATGACGTATTGACACAAATTTCGAATGATTTTCAATGGTCGCTCTGTCGCGTCGTGTACTAGACAGACTTTAGCTGTTGCGACGCAGACACGGTGGTACTCACCTATCGAGAAGAAGCAAAGCAACCTCGGCGTCCCATCGCAGGCCTTCCGCTCCTTGAGTTCTCTCCAGCACTGGAAAGCTGATCCGATATTTACACTGGTCCTACTTCTTTCCTTAAGCCTTCTTTTGTTCCGCAGACATTTTCCTCTTTTGTTCATCTCTATCTTTCTGTCGCACAGCTTGGCTAATGTCCGTCCTGTGCTGTGCACTGAACGCTCTCTCCTCCACATCATGAGTAGACACGCCCCTTACTGCTGATTGGCTCCGAGTTTGTTTTGCTAGTCGGCCCAAATCAGTTTGCACGACACGACAAATCCTCGACAGAAAACTGCTGCTGCGTTTTATTCATGACGTATTGACACAAATTTCGAATGATTTTCAATGGTCGCTCTGTCGCGTCGTGTACTAGACAGACTTTAGCTGTTGCGACGCAGACACGGTGGTACTCACCTATCGAGAAGAAGCAAAGCAACCTCGGCGTCCCATCGCAGGCCTTCCGCTCCTTGAGTTCTCTCCAGCACTGGAAAGCTGATCCGATATTTACACTGGTCCTACTTCTTTCCTTAAGCCTTCTTTTGTTCCGCAGACATTTTCCTCTTTTGTTCATCTCTATCTTTCTGTCGCACAGCTTGGCTAATGTCCGTCCTGTGCTGTGCACTGAACGCTCTCTCCTCCACATCATGAGTAGACACGCCCCTTACTGCTGATTGGCTCCAAGTTTGTTTTGCTAGTCGGCCCAAATCAGTTTTCTAAAGCGTTTTTGAAAAATCACTTACCCCACCTTTAAGGAAATCTATCATCTATCACCTATCATCATTTACTTGCCCTTATGTATTTCAGAACTTTGTGTTTTATTTCAATGGAACTCAAAAAGAGATGTCTAGCAGAATGTTCATGTTACTCTTTTCCATAGAATGAAAGTGAATGGGGACTGGGACTGTCAAGCTCCAAAAAGAAAAAAAACTAAGAACATAAAACATGTCCTCTAAAGCCATATGATTGCTTTATGTGAAGAAAAATTTGAGTTTTAAATAGTTATATTATTTGCTAATAATATTCCCAAATTCCCAAATGTTAACAGTGAAGGGGAAGATTTTCAGTAAACAACATCTTTAATTCTAGTCACATAATCCTAGTGAATGGTTGCAGAGCACTTGAAATTTAGTGCACAAGTCATTTGGACTGCTTTTATCATGCTTTTTTATTTTTTTGAGCATAACAGTCACAGTCCCCAATTTCCACTTTTATTGTATGGAAGAGCAGCCTGAACTTTCTGACTAATATCTCCTTTTGTCTTCCGTGGTTGTAACTCATTTGGAACTTGTGTTATTTTATTATCATTTATATGTTATTATAGTTTTATTCATGTTTATTACATTTTATTTTATTTTATGTTTAGTATAATAATTTTAGTTTAATGTTTTGTCATTTTAAACTTCATCAGTTCGGTTTAATTTATTTTATTTTTTGTTTTAGTTCACGTTTAGTTTTTATTTATTACCAGTTAGTAAATTTAGTTAAACTTAGTAGCTGTCCATTTGTTTAATCTAATATTTAAATATACATCTTAACTACACCTTAAATAAATGATTTTGCAAGTTTGGATTTGTTACAGTGATCTAGCTCATCTTCTCTGTTTCATATTGTTTTGTTTTCTAATTCTGAATGCTATTTCAAGAAAAATTTACTTTTTAATAGTTGTCTAATAAACCTGGCATTGTTGGCTCTTTGGATAAAGTGTGCTTTGGATAAAAGTGTTTGCTGTAAATGTAAAAACAAAATGCTAGAAAAGATGAGTTTTTTGGAGTTAATGCTCAGGAATAGACAGCTTTCTCCAGAAATGAACAATATGACTGTCTGTACTGCAAGACATAAGATATATGGCTTAATTTGAGTCTGATTCTCTCAGTATGTTGAGTGTTTTCAGCGAGGGCTCGTCCCGCTGGACTGGATAGGGCGGTTGAGCGGGTCACAGGAAGAGGTGAGGGGGAAAGAGAGCTAGACTGTGATTAAGACAGCTGTGGAACTGGTTGTGAGTGAACAGATCATGCTGGACTGAGGCACACACAGGGCTCAAGAATGCTATTTAAGCTCCACTAAGAACATTTTATTCTCTCGTTCTAGAAATCCATCTATGTATTAGAGCTTTTAAGAGTCCAGAAACTGAATTTGATCTATAATGAAAAATCAAGAACTTCTGATGATCTCCAAACAGCCATATAGCAACTCGAGTACCTTACACCAGTATATACTATTATAGTTTTATTATAGTTATTATAGTATTATTATAGCTTTTTTCAGTATTTTGAATTAGCATTCTTATATGTGTGTGTGTGTATATATATATATACATATATATATACACATATATATATAAATAGCTTTCTTTTTAATTTTAGTTTAACGTTAGTGATTTTTACTAACGTTAGTAATAGTAATTTTTTGGTGCTTTTACCCTTTTTATTACTTTTTTAAAATATTACTATTTAAATTAATCTATTTTAATAATATTATAAATTAGTGGGGTTTTTTACATTTTCAAATTTCGTTTTTAATTGTAGCTTAAATTTTACAAAAATTAAAAAAAAGAAATTCAAATATTATACTATTTAGTTTTTATTAATATTTTGAATTAGCTTTTCTTTTTATATTTTCAGCTTTCTTTTTAATTTAAGCTTAATATTTAGTAATTATGTGCTTTTGTAATTTTTATTATTTGTAATTATTATTAGAACTATTTAGGTTATGTTTATTTTTATTTCAGTTTTAAGTTCAGTTTTAGTTTTTATTTCCAGTTACTAAATTTAGTTTAGCCAAAACAAAAATAATTTTATTTCAGCTTTATTTCAGTTAACAAAAAGTTTTTAATAGTTTAAGTTTTAGTTAACGATAATAACCCTGGAACCTATTTACGCCATATCCGTTCTAATTGTCATAATGTGGGAGTGTTTATCTGTCAATCTATTAAATCAATTTTTATTTCAGTTTTAAGTTCAGTTTTAGTTTTTATTTCCAGTTACTAAATTTAGTTTAGCCAAAACAAAAATAATTTTATTTCAGCTTTATTTCAGTTAACAAAAAGTTTTTAATAGTTTAAGTTTTAGTTAACGATAATAACCCTGGAACCTATTTACGCCATATCCGTTCTAATTGTCATAATGTGGGAGTGTTTATCTGTCAATCTATTAAATCAAACACAGACGGAGCTGATCTCTGTCCTTTTGTCTGAATGTCAGTCCATCTGAGTTGTTTTGTTAGGAGCATAAACTCGGAATTGGAGTGTTAAAATAACTGGCCTGCCAAATATTAAATTATCAGCATTTTCAATAGCGATAATTTAATTCTTGAATGTTTTAATGACAGATTGTTTACCTCTGTGTGTTTGTGTGAACAAGCCTCAACCTGCTAGTGAAACTGATCTCGTACTTGTCAGCAGACACTGTTCAGCTCCAACAGCAGCTCAACTTGGCAGCATGTCAGTCCAACCGAAGCTAATGAGACTGACATTGTAAACACTCCACCTTCAGCTCCCGTGTTTCTGGAAGGACCCCTGAATTTGAACAATCACAGACTGAAACCTTATTTATTTTCCTCTCTCTTCTTCTCTTTGCAGATGTTCTCCGCTCTTCAGTATGATTGACAGTTTGTGGCCTCCTCCGGTTGATCCAAAATCTCATGACGATCTGCCACAGTCTCCCAGCGTAGGTCTTCAGATCACATCATAAATCACAGCCTGTTTACTTCACATTTATCTCACATGGAAGATTCCTCCTGGATAGTGGCAGTCCAATGTCAAAACAACCGCCACGCTGCATTCTTAACCAAAGCACATAAATAAACCTTCAGAGATTAAAAATACAATATTACTCATTAGCGGTGGTTGCGAAGACAAACATCACTGCAGTTTCTCGTACTAAGAGTTAGGGATTTAAACAAACCCCTGACGCTGAGTATTAAACTTTACTGTGCAACTTGTCCCATACCAGACATGAATGAAATCTAGCAGCTGTTGTGCTGGTACTTTCATACTACAGATTTTCACCTAGCAGGTGAAAACATGGGCAACAAATCCCTTAGACTTACACTGAACGAGAGACCTAGACATCAGAATGTCAACTGTATCTTCAGTTTTTCCCCAAAAAATCTGCTTGTTTTGTAGAAATTGTTACATTCATCTTTTATTAGGCCTAAAACTTTCTTTATGCCTTGGGTTTAAAAAAAGCTTTAAAGGGGTGGTTGACTTTTTTTTCTAGGCTTGATTGTGTTTATGGGGTGCTGTCTAACATGTGTTAATGCTTCGTTTAAAAAAAAAAAAAAACGCATAATTTTTCACATAATTTACCATTATTCCACACCGCTCTGTTCCTTCTCCTATAAACGCGCTGATCATTTCCTGCTTTTATGAAGCCCCTCCCTCAGAAATACGGGATGGGCTCTGATTGGTTAGCTAGTCCAGTGTGTTGTGATTGGCTACACCGTCTCTAGTGCGCGTCTAAACGTCCCGCCTCTCACCTCAGCAGCATGTGCTCCGGTTGTATTGTAAACAATGGCGTCGTCTATATTGCTTATCAATTTGAGCCCGATTGAGACTAAGAGGATCGCGCAGAGTCTGTGCAAGCACAGCTCTTAATGGTATGTTTTTGTTTGTTGTTGTCTCATACTTTTAGATACTCTGTTATTTGTAAATGCTACTGCTTCTGTTAGCTTTTAATATACGGTTTTATCCTGATTAAAGCTTTAATACAGTACGGCAACCACACGCAACCATGTTTAACTGTTCTCATAGCTATGTGAAAATAAGTGTATAAATGGAACCGAGCCGAGCTTGTGATCCGAATGAGAGATAAGAGAGAGAGAGAGATGTAGAGCAGGGTGGCGCGAGGAACAGGATTGAGAACCGCTGCTTTAGAACATTAATTTTGAAACTTATGAATCCATTAGAATCGTTAGAAGACAGAATCACGATTCATATATGAATAGATTTTTACGTGCACCCCTAGTTTTCTTCCTCTTCTCTAAAGCAGCGCAGCATGGCCTCGCCCCCTTTGTTGCATGTTCCTGGGGGCGGAGTTTGTCTGGGTTTGTGATGTCACGAACCTGGGAAGTAACTCGTTGTAGTCCCTACCAGCCGTTTTTGTAGGCATTAAACTGCCAGAATTTTAAAAGACGATATCTCCATTTGCATTGCAACTTTCAGCGCCGCAACTTTGTAGATATTGTTAATGCTCAAACAACAACATTACGCACTAACTAACGTTAAAAAAGTGAAATCGCATTCAACCACCCCTTTAAAGGAACCATTTTCTACTATTCATAGCATTTTGTTATCCTTTTGTATCTTGAAGGACACTACTTTTGAACCTTCGCTAAACCTTCACCAAAAACATTTGTATTTTTTTTCATCATAGCGGGCCAAGTAATGTAAATATATGCAAATGTATGCAGTCATAAGCAGTGTTGGGGGTAATGCATTACAAGTAACGCGAGTTACGTAATCAGATAACTTTTTTCAAGTAACTAGTAAAGTAACGCATTACTTTTTAATTTAATATATCTGAGTTACTTTTTCAAATAGGTAACGCAAGTTACTTTTTTTCCCCCAATTTATTGACTGACAGCTCTCCTGTCCCCATGTTGAGAGAAATCAGAAGATGTTAAATGTAGTTCTATAATAATATGAATATGCATTAATTAATCTCACTTACACACACACAAAAAAGCACAGATTCAATATTCCTCAAAATGAATAAAAAATAATGCAACTCAGAATATGACGTAAACCTGCAATAATTAAATGTTAAACAACACAAATATCCTTTATGTATTTAATCCCATTCTATTAACCGATGTCTTTGCTTCTGACCTTCGATGATCCAGTTCAACCGTACTAATAAGCAAAAGTTACTCTAGACAAACATTTGTGTGTCTTTTTTTTATTGCTGAAGTGTGTTGAAATTTCTTCTTCTGCATTCTACTGTATGGAATTAAATTTACTTTCCCTTCAGCCTGAGGCTTATTCATTTCACTTTTGGTGTGAAAAGGCTTTTATATTTGCCAAAAATAGAACTTTTTTATTTTAAAAACAAACAAGCAAGCCCTGTCCAGATTGAAAAAGGAACCCAAAAGTAACGTAATGCATTACTTTCCATAAAAAGTAACTAAGTAATGTAATTAGTTACCTTTTTATGGAGTAATGCAATATTGTAATGCATTACTTTTAAAAGTAACTTTCCCCAACACTGGTCATAAGTTAATGAGTTTACGGTGGCTTCTGAATGAGTGTTTTTGCTGTTTTGTTTCTATAAATAATCTGGTTGACTGGGAAGGGAACTTTACTCTGAGTGACAGAGGTAAATGATATTTGTTTCCATCAAATGACCCCGCTGAACTAAACGATCTAGTTGATTTTTAAATAGTCAGGACAGTCTGTGCTTTCCAGGATCGAGTCCCACCGCCCAGTTTCTGCTGTAGACTGAGCGTCCAGCAGGGTCACATAGTTCCATTATCAGGACAGACTGAATCTTCACTGTACCCGACCACCTGTACTTCAGACGCTAAGAGAGATCCTTGAGGTACAGCACTCAAAACAATGTCAAAACAGACTGACAGTAACCTCTTTTACCAGACATGCTTCAAAAATAAATAACAAAATCGAGGAATTTTGAGATTTTAAGATTTTAAAACTATACAGTGCCGCTTGACAGTTTGTGAACCCTTTAGAATTTTCTATATTTCTGCATAAATGTGACCCGAAACATAATCAGATTTTCATACAAGACCTGAAAATAGACACAGATAACCCAATCAAACAAATGAGACAAAAATATTTTCTTTTTCATTTATTTATTGAGAAAAATGATCCAGTGTTCCATATCTGTGCGGTGCAAAAGTATGTGAATCTCTAGGATCAGCAGTTAATTTGAAGGTGAAATTAAGAGTAAATTAACTTAAATGATTTTAGCAAATGGCTGCAATATAACAAAGAGTGAAAAATGTAAGGGGGTCTGAATACTTTCCGTACCCACTGTATATCTAACTATGTTCAGGACAAAAATATTAAAAAAATTATAATAATTATAATAATAATAATTACAAATGACTTTTTGTGAGTGCAGCTATTATATCTTATATATATATATATATATATATATATATATATATATTTGTAATCAATTTTAAAGATCATTATCCAGTAATATTAATTATTGAAAATGAATTGGTTGAGAGGTGTGGAACAGTGTTTTATTATTATTTATATACATTTATAGTTTTTATTTTGAATGAGCTTCAGTCTTTATATTTTCAGTTTTCATTTTAATTTTAGTTTAGGTTTTAGTAATTTTGTAATGTGCATTTTTAGTAGTTATTTTATTTGTTATATTTATATGTGTAATATTTCAGTTTTAGTACCTCAACCTATTTATTTTGGTTATTTTCCAAGGTAATATTTCCAAATTTTAAGTGTTTTTTAAAAATTATTTTTAAGTGTATGCTTTTCATCTAATATTTATATTTTGTTTTATTTCAGCTGTTTTCAATTGATGAAAATGCTGTTTAATAGTTTTAGTTAACAATACCAACACTGGTGTGCAAACCAAGTAAAATGATTTACGAATGATTCTTTCTTTCTTTGTTTTTTAGGATGAATCTTCAAGGTGTCGTTGCAGCTTTTGGGCCACTGTGGTTCATAAACAATTACTGGTAATGTTTTCGTAATCTATTTTTAACAACAAATGCATAAATCAGATCATCATTTTTCATCATAGCTATCTTTGTGGACCACCTTGGCACGCCTGGTTTAAAGAGTGTGAGAAATAGTCCTTAGCTTTGCCTTTAGATTGTCTTCTTAAGAAGCCACCGTAGCTGTTTTCCCAGCACATTTGCCAAGTCTTCATCCCTCAGGGTTGCTTCCCAACTGTACACCTTTGGAAAAGTGTTTGGAAAGCTTTACGCGCTGTTTGACGCAAGCTTCCCTTAAGTGACATCATCCATTGACAATCTGTTGCACTGATCTAGCAAACCCTCAGACTTTGGACTTTGATAACCTGGGATTTATTTGTAGGAGGTTAAGGGTCATGCACACACGCTGGTGTGGATAGTAGATTAACCTTTTTTGTTTTGTTTTGATTTGCTCTGTTTGTTTTGCTATTGACATTGCACATATGTGTATGATGACAGATTTATGTCTTTATAAATGAGGCAAAAAAAAAAGTTGTATTTAGCCTCGTGTATTCAAACCGTTGTTTGATTAACACCCATATTTTCCCCAAATTTACATACATATTATTATTGCAAAATAATTGCAATCCTTTGCCATTTACCCTTTATCTGAACTGCTTTTTATTCTTTTACATTTTATGTCCCAAAATTGGGTCGTAACATAGCGTTACCTAATATATAGATTGTTTTTTCATATTGAAATATTAGAATAATTTCTTTCATTCTTGAATTCCTGCACATGAGATATACTCAAACTTTTACACAATTTTACACAATATTTATGTCCACATATTTGAAAAGAGAAAATGTGCATTGTACATTGAAAAATTAAGCGTTAGCGTTATTTCTGGCAGGTCACATGAGTCAAGCTTGCATCAGCTGATTCTCAGCTGATCACATCTACCTATAGGAATACGACACCTATCGCGGCATTCCTATATAAGCTCTATTCAGTATTATTCAGCAGCTTTTCAGCTTGCTCAGGAGCAAATTACCCTCCTCCATCCCCAGCTCCTCCTTTCGCCACAGTCAGGACTTGGCTTTCTGATATTCCTTGCTAATCAGACTCCTTTATCTTGAATAAAGTGTTACACTTAAATATCATTAAGTACATTAATGATATCTGCCTTGTTCTGTTCTGTTAACCCTGGGGGGGTTATTATTGCTGCTCTCCCTGCTCATTCATGACAGGCTGCATGGATGGGCAGGGAGGTTTTTGCCCAGAACAGAACCATACCGCCAAACCAAACTTTATGCTAAGTATCTATCATTTTGACTATAGTGGTCCTGACAGAAGTATATTCCAGTGCTAATCTTAAAATCTCAAGTCAGTTCATAATAATTTATTTAATAAAATTCACTGATTTCCACATGCATCTTTGTATTGCAGAGCTCAAATGCAAGCGAGAGGGAGATGCTGCTGTTTGTGACAGATCCCAGTCTGCAAATGGAGCTGAACACAGAGGGGAACAGGAGAACTATAACCATGTATCTGAGCCCATCCTGCCTGATCCAGAGCTCAGTAACACAGGCGCTGGAAACCCCGCAGACACAACCCCTTCTGATGTTCAGAGACGCTGTTGGACATATATGAACACATCAGCTGGTATTGTCTCATTGTCTCATGACTTACTAATTATTGGTTCAGTCTACCATAATGGTAGTAATTCTAAAGTATTATAATTAACAATGCCTCAGGGTTATTATAGTTAAATGAAACTGAACCAAAAATTAAAACCATTAAAAAAACAAAACAAATTTTGTTACTTGAAATTAAAATATAAAAAAACTTACAAATTAAATTAAAATGAGAAATGTTGCCTTGGCAACTAGATTAAATTAAATCTCTTTGCCAAGGCCTTATTTCTATTTTTTATTTAATTGAACTTGATGTACTAAAACTGAAATAATAATAAATACAAACTATATAACAAAAAAAACAACAACACAAAACATCTACTAGTTTTAATTAAAACGTTAACTAAAATTTAAACAGAAAATGTAAAAATAAAAACTGATTCAAAATTATACTAACAACTATAATAATATCTCAATAATACTAAAATAAAACTGACTATAAGGTATTATTGGGCATTATGAGGATTCATCTTAAAAACAATGTAAAGAACATGTCCAGGTCACGTTTTACCCTGAAATCAAAAGAGAAAAATAATCAGTTATATAATTTTTTTCATTTTTGGACTATTAACATTTTTTTTGCATTGTGACATTATTTTCATGATAATCTCATTACTGTAATGTGAGTAATGTGAAAAGAATGATATTATGTAGTATATATAGTATAGTATAAGTTGTAATAAATAATTATATATTTTACATAATAATGTATTTATACGTCATGGTAGTATCTATGTACATAATTAAATTATTTAAATAAATTACAAAATCAATAAATAAGTGAATTTGTGCTTAATTTTAAATAATGTCACAAAATGTTCCTAAAAATAGGCATCACTTTTCTTTTTTTTCTTTTCTTTTCCTTTTCATTTTTGGGTGAAAAATGACCTTGACATGTTTTCATGAGATGCAGCCATAAATGCTTTATAATGCATAAAAATGTTATTTATTTATTTATTTTTTAAAGGAAAAGTTCGGCACTACTGAATGGAAGCCGTTCAAGCTGAAAGTCTCTGTGGTTGCTTCTTCATGTCTGAACTATTTTGAGATTTAGAGGTTTCCTACATTAATCTTCATGTTGTTATTTCTCAGAGCCATGACTGTAGAACGTTCCATGACATTAAACTACTGCTCCTTTTTCGTAAACCAGCTCAGATACTCTGCTGGGAACAGACAGTGATCCAACTGGAACCAGAGGACCCATCCTTCTCCATTCCGCTGCCCATAATACTAGAACACCTGGATCCAGAAACCCTCCCATACTCTCTCTGCACTGTCACAGGTTGGTATATTCCCCCCAGAGCCTCCCTTGTTTTGAGGAGTTGGTATGATCCAGCCTGACAGAACCAGATCTCGGGTGGGAGGGGGGCCATTGCTTTTTAAATGGACAAAAACAGCATTTTTGGCCATTTAAATGAAACCAGTTGTTTGTTGGCTCAGGCTTTGTTCTTGTGGTTTGTTATTTGCTCCTTCCTCCTTAAAGATCTTTCTCCCACATGTTGAAGTTGTCTTTTTGCCTGGTGTTGAGATATAAAAGTCACATTTTGTTACAAAGTGTTCTGTTCATTCTCTTATTATATTATTTTAACTCATGCAAAGTGATGCCATTTCTCTGAATTGTTTCACTCTTTAAATAATCCACAAATATTGACCATCTTCTTAGCAATAATAGTTTTTGAGAGTTATTTCATTGCTTTTTTAAATATCATCAGTAATACCACATATCAGAATCAGAATCAGAAGAGCTTTATTACCAAGTATGTTTACACACACAAGGAATTTGACTTGACGACAGGAGCTTCCAGTGTAGAAGAAAGTACAACATAGTGCAGAGATACATGATAGTGCAGACATACAGAGGAATAACACAGTGGGGATGTAATATAACACTAATATAATAAAAAAAGAAAATTTAATAATGTACTATATTCAGAAATAGAAATATAGGAAAAAATGTAATAGTTTAGATAAATGTACAGATATGTTTATTAGTGTGCAGATATGTTATTTACAAAGTGTGCAGTTTAATATAAATATACTATGTTAGTTGTGATGGACGATGTATAATTATGAAAGATTAATTGAATTAAGTATTGAATATAGCTGAATATTCAATATAGCTTGTGGGAAAAAAACTGTTCTTGTGCCTGACTGTTCTGGTGCTCAGTGCTCTGTAGCGCCGACCAGAAGGCAACATATCTAAAAATGTATCATTCAGAAAATGGAAAACACAGTTGTGTGTTATTCGCAACTTGTTTTTTGCCCAAGAGCTGTCCAGTTAGACGGGGTGAGACCATCTGACATGTAAATCAATTAACCACATGCATCATACAGGGGTCGGTTTATCTGCAGTAATATTCATAGAATGGCTTTGCAGTGGCAGTTTGTAGAAAAAATTATGTTAAAGGCTAAAAACAGTAGAAAACAGGCTAAAAAATGCCTGGCTAAAAACTGAATGGAAAAAACAATTGCAGAAATTTGTGTAGAGTTAGTAGTCAGAATTTCTCTAAAACAAAAAAAATCTCCCTAAACATATTGAGTAAATAAACATACTGTCTACTCTTTGGTCTTTGACTGACCAATGGCAGATGGGAAATTCGTTTAAAAACATTATTTAAAATTATTATAATATATATTTTTTTAAAAATTGAATTTTACTAAAATAATTTTGTTGTTATGGTATAGTAATGTCATGCTTTATCTTTACCAGAAAATCTACCAACAAATTCTCAATGGATAATGAACATTTCAAATAATTTTTAGAGAACTTTGAGAAAATATTGTGTAAAAATGTTTAAATTTGTGTACATTTCATTTGCTCTCATTTCCTCTCATCTTTGCATCTTGACATTATTTTCATGATCATTTTCATTACTCTAATTGGAAAATAATTTGATTAATTATAATAAATCATATTAGTAATTATTTGAATAATGACTAGTAACAAGTAAATATTAGTCATTATATTGTAATGTATGTAAACATCATGGTAGTATTTATTTAAATCATTAAATTATTTAAATAAATTACACAAAACAAGTCTGCATTTGTACTATTTGTCATGAAAACAATGTCACAAATTCTTAATGGTCCTAAAAAGATGCATTATTTTCTTTATCAGGAATAAATAATTTTTTCTTTTAATTTTGTGGTGAAAAATGACCTGCGCATGTTTTTATGATATTCAGCCATGAATGCTTTATAATGCATTACAGATTGTCTGTTTTAAGGAAACGTTCAAAACTACTGAATGGAAATTATTCAAGCTGAAATCCCTGTGGACGACCAAGGGCATGAAGCATACATTTAGATTCTGTTATGTCATATTTTGTCATCCACACTGAGGTTTCATGCAGACATTGTTTATATTTTTCCACGTTCAATTAGAGGATAGAAATGTGATATTTGACACTCCGTGTTATTCTTTGAATCTCTGTGGCCATTTCACCCTGAAGATAAGACAAATGATCTGATTCAAAAGTGTAACAAGCACAAATTATCTTCTGCAGTGGTCAGCAACTTCAGCTTCTGGCTGAGTGCAGAGGTTCACGCAGGAGTCTTATCACACTGCCTGCTGTTTGTTATGTAACACAGATGTGTTTGTGTGCTTGTGTTACTGCTTTTATGATGTTATTGGTCAGAAAATGTCCATGCAGAGACTAAATTTAAAGTTCTCAGATGAAGTCAGATGTGTTCATTTATTTCTGTATAAAATTTCATGGTTCATTTCACAGTAGTAGGTCAAATCAGAAGGGTAAAAATAACAGTGATGAGCTAATTTACGCAGTAAGGAGTAAAAATAGCAGTAATGGGCTTATTCATAACCAGTAAACTGAAACTAGCAAACAAATTGTTAAAGATGACATCCTTAAAAATCAATCTATGGTTCCATGAAGAACCTTTAACATTCACGGAACCCCTGATTCCACAGAAGGTTCCAAAAATGGTTATTTAAAAAAAACTGTTCACTGAAAGGTGAACTAAACATTGTTCTTCTATGGCTTCCCTTTTGGAACCTTAATTTTTAAGAGTGCAACTGTGTTAGTTACTAATACAATACATAGTTTATCCTGTGATCAACAAGCAAATTGATTTGAGTCAAGTGTGTCAATGAAAGGATTTTAATGATTTGTTATTTGCATATGGTTATGTGCAGGTGTGGTTGTAGCAGTGGATGAAAGCACAGCGTTCTCCTGGCCCACTTGCAGCCGCTGCGAGAGCTGCCGTTTAGCGACTCGAGAACAACAGTAAGTCCAAAGTTCTTCTAAACCAGTTCTAAGTCCACACTGGTGAACTTTAAATACCAGAAGCAATCCTGAGTGAACATCAACCTCTACAGCATCTGTGATAAGGATGGGCTGACAGATTAACATTAGTTCTAGAGAACTATTTCCTAGGCGTTATTAAAGCAGCATCACAGCTGCCAAGTCCTACTTGTGTCATCTTGTAAAATGAAGTGTTTATTGAGTCCCAAATGCTTTCTTTATTAAGAAGCAAGTCAGAAAATTGAGTTTTCCCAAAGTACATTATAGGGGACGTGTTTGTGGCATTTTATTTTGTTCCCAAAGCCACAGAAACAGACTTAAAGGAATAGTTCACCCAAAAATGAACATTTCTTGGAGATTCACTCACCCTCAGGCCATTCAAGAAGATGTAGATGAATTTGTTCCTTCATCAGATTTGGAGAAATGTAGCATTACAGCACTTGCTCAGCAATGGATCCTCTGCAGTGAATGGGTGCCGTCAGAATGAGAGTCCAGACAGCTGATAAAAACATCACAATCACACAACTCCAGTCCATCAAATTAATGTCGTGTGAAGTGAAAAGCTGCGAGTTTATAAGAATTACTTGTGGATTATTGTGATGTTTTTATCAGCTGTTTGGACTCTCATTCACACTTCATTCACACTTGTCAACTTTATCCATTGACATTCCTATAAGACAAACTGTAGATCATAACGCCAGCAATGCCAAGATTATGGATTTAATTCCCAGCAAATGCATGAAAAAAAATGTATGCCTTGAAAACCAATGCAAGTCCTTTGAATAAAAGCATCTGACAAATAGAATATACAGAATAATGGTGCTGTCCTGGAATGCTAAATGCATGTGTTGGTCTTGTACAGTCCGTAAGGTTGTTGACCCATATGTGTTCAGAGTTAAAGGGATAGTTCACCTTCAGTTGCTGGTCCCCATTGACTTCCATAGTATGGAGAAAAAAAACACACTATGCAAGTCAATGGGGACCAGCAACTGAAGGTGAACTATCACTTTAATGTGTAAGACGCCTCCATTACATTGTGTTTAATCACAACCCACCACATGGCTAAATTGTTTTCACATTCCTGTGTAAGAGCTAAAGCTAAAGTGATGAATCATGGTGCCTTTGAGCCCTCAAACTGAAAATGACTCAACAAACATTAAAAAAAACAGCAATAAAAGTTGCATGTGTGTTGGTTTCTAGAAAAGGATTCGTCTGTTTAGCATGTGGAGCAGTGATGGATGAACCCATCGTAAAGATGCAGCTGGAGGTGTTTCTGAGCTGCTCCTCACTGAGCCACTGTACCATTAAAATCAAGGTGAGGTGCTTTCAGCTGCTGTATGAGGAAACGTTCATTCCCACGGGGGACAAAAACATGTTGTAATCATATGTAAAAAAAAAAATTTTTTTAAAGGAAATGAAGCAGATAATAATTTGCATTCATTTAAATCATGTTAGATTTTCATTACTGTTACAATAAAATGTCCAGTTTTCCTAAATAGAATAAATTAAATGCAATACAGCAAACATTTTTATAATAGATATATACTTTACAGTTTAAATAATTTGCATTCATTTAAATATCAGCTTTTGACTAGTTATAGAAAAATCATGTCCAATTTTTTTTTAAATAGCATAAATGAAATGCAGTACAGCAGACATTTATATGATATATAAATCCTTTACAATTTAAATAATTTGCATTAATTTAAATGATATCATCTTTTGACTACTGTTATAGAAAAATCATGTCGAGGTTTTTTTTAAATAGCATAAATTAAAGACAGTAGTATGATATATACATACTTCATAATTTAAATAATGAAGTACTTTTTTTGCACCTAATGAGAATGATATTTTGCACATGATCACATATGTAATGTCATACAATCATAATAGTGAATTTTATTCATGTAAATATACATATTTTGGGCTGATATATGACGTAGACGTCTTCATGACAGGTTTCATGACATTCTGCTGAATCTAATTCTTGAAAACAAACTCTTAAGACAGCTGTATCTACATCTCACATGACGTTAAAATGATTATCATTAACACTTGAGAAAGTGAAGCTAGCATGATTTTATCGCTCATGCAGAAACGAAAATGTTACATTTCCTGGAAATTTCAGCGAAGGCGGAGGGTCACATATTATGGAACAGATTAACAAGATACCTCATACGTTATCAGAAATGAGTTTCACCCACAGAACCTGAATAAAGTTATGAAGTTTGTGACAATTTGGGACTACTGAGTAAATGATGTATGAAAGAGAAAGTATAGATGTTCTGATCTTAACAATGTTTTATTGTTATTTTGACTTGTTTCTTAAGCACAAAATCTCAGTCTTAAGTGTAAATTATTAAGAATTTACTGAATACTAAGCCATTTTCATAATGTGTTTAGCTGATGCAACTATAACCATGCAAAAGAAGCCTTTAACATTATTTTGTCTAATGCTGTCAAGCGAAAATGTCTTAAAATGCTTGATTAGATGAGGTCAGACAGGGTTGATTTCCTGAGGCCTTCAGAGTCTAAATGATTTCCAGGGTTGTCTGTGAGTTAGCAAAAAATATTAATGTTTCATAGTTTTTTTTCCATATTCCTGCCACATCGTATGAATCAAATTATGATATTAATGCATTCATGTGCATGCGTTTCAGTTGACCATTAAATCTCTTTTGAACTCGACAAGATGTACTGAGGTACGATTCTGGACTAGCAGTGTGAAAGTGTCGGTCATTTAGAACCATTTCTGTTTTGAATTCATAGTTAATTGTTTGTCAGGGTTACAGTGTGGAAAATGTTCTTGGGTCGGAGATCGGTCCTCTCAGCGTCTTCGTCCACGTCGTCAACAGAAGTCACACTGTTTGGATGGGTTTGGAGGAGTTTGACCTCCACTGTCTAGCACACTTATCTGCTCATTTTATTGTTTAAATAGAATAATTAGTCAACACTGGTCTTGCCTTATTTCCAAATGTACACTCTAAAAATTGCTGGGTTGTTTCAACTCAACTTTGGGTCAAATATGGACTAACCCAACCGTTGGGTTAAATTTTTACATTCAATTTTTAACCCAAAAGTTGGGTTAGTTCATATTTGACCCAAAGTTGGGTTGAAACAACCCAGCAATTTTTAGAGTGTATGTAAATAAACAAAAAAGTGTAGAGTGCTAGAATAATTCTACCAATGTTCATTCTGGAGCCTGTCGTATTTTGAAAACTGTTAAGAAAACCAGAACCATCAACTAATAATAATAGTATGAAAGATGCTCATGTGATGTCCAGTATCAGCTGATTGATTACATTATGGTGGTGTTGAAGTTTATTTATTTGTACAGTAATTGATTTATTGCTCTCTATGACAGCTGAATACCTACGTTTACTATAAACAAAAGTTTTATGCCAGCAAATAACTGATTAAGTCATTTTCATTAAAGATTTCACAAGCATTTTAAGTGTCTAATAACCAGTATGCAAAATTGATTTTACATATTTTTATTTCTAATTTGACTCCAGTGACTAAGTCCACAACAATAAAAGCAGAAATGTATGCCATTGAATTGTTTCTAAATTGTTTGTAAAGTGGTCACATTTATGAATCTATGAAGAGGTCTAACTAAACTAGGATAAAATGCTGCTCCTTTTGTATTCACCTGTGAATACCATTGTTGTTCTCTTTCTGAAAAGTTGCTTCAATTCGTCTTAAACTCGAACCTTTAGTTGTGGCCCTTACTGACCAACTTATATTTAAAAGCAAAACCAGCAGCTTCAGAGTTTTCCTTTGAGGTATGGCAGATGAATCTGGCATTTGCAAAAGTGTTTACCACAAATCTTATTTTACTTGACTATTTTTATTTTTAAGTTGAAAAATCTCTATACTCACAATCCCGTTGAGCTGACTGCTACACCTTTCAACAGACCACGCCCCCTCAGACCCGCCCCCGAGCACACATGCGCGTTCACATGGATCTTTTTGAAAATTCACGTCGTTTTATTATACATTTGTACACACTGTACAATTTCAAACATGCTCTTGCATTAATACGAAGTTTTGGGGAATTATAAAACAAGTACCATAAAAACATATGAAGTTTTTTCTGTAATAATTTAGAATACAAAAATATTCACAAAAATAATCATGACACCATGCGGTGCCAAAGTCCATCATCCAATGTGTAACTTAATGCAGGTCTGCTACAGAAGAACATAGTAATTCAAGTTCACTGAGGTATGTTTTTGGCAAGGTTGTTGGGGAGCGCACTCTCTTACTCTCTCATAACTCTCTACGCGCCTCACCGACTGTCAACAGCCGCGCGCGCCGCAGTCCCAAAAGAAGTGTCTGGCATGTGTTTGAAGAAGTTTCTGAGGCTGCTGAGCTCTCGCGTCAGCTGATCGATGGTTTTGTGCAGGCGCGCGTTGTCGGCGCTCAGCTCGATCATCTTCTGCTGCATCTCCAGGTTGCGCTGCTTCGCCTTGTCCCTGCTTTTACGCACGGCGACATTGTTCCTTTCGCGCCGCTGCCGATACTCCGGGCTGTGCCTGTCGACTGTCTTTTTGCCCTTTTCCTTTCCCAGCCTCCTCCGGGTGTGGGCTTCTGGTTCAGGTGTGGTGGGAGGTGTCGGCTGGCCCGTATGCATGAGGCTCACGGACGTCTGCGCGCACGTCTCGATCTGAGATGGTAAGGACGAGGACAGTTCGCTGTCGCTCCAGTCCGCCTCCTTCTTGATCGGTGCGCAAAACGCGCCCTTGCCAAAGCCTCCATCCTGGCGCTGCAGCCTCTCCGAGCTCTTTTGCGCAAAAGCGCCTGCCAGGTAAAAGTCGGGCTTTTCATGCTTCACGGTGTTGTTGAACAAGTCTGCAAAGAGCTCGTCGTTGCAGATCTCCAGAGGAACCGTGGACATGGACTCGATGTAGGCGCTGAAGTCGATGGCGCTCTCATCATCGTAGATGGCAGGCGCGTTGCTGAGCTCCATCATGCTGCTGCTGCTGTTGTTGTTGTTGTCCTCGGACGTGCCATGCTCTCCCCCGGATTTGGCATCCCCTGGCATGACTTTATTATCATAGAAGTTGGCAGGCTCCACGGCCCAGCTCATGTTGCATGGTGGCGTTACGCACTGCGAGTCCAGGTTGTACATGTCAGACATGGACGCAGCCAAACTCAAACTCAAACCAGCAGATCCTTTCCTTGTCCCAGTCCACAAAAAGCGTAATTTTTCACGCGCAATCACACCCTGTCTCGCGCACCCAGCGCGTATCTCCGAAAGTCTGGCTGTCTCGCGTACAGGTGTTAAAGTCCTCGTAGCTCTCTATCGAAACTCTGCCGTCCGCCTGCATAAGTACAAGCGCACGGCTTGCGTCACGGCACCACCGCCCCCTTCCAGAAGCCAGTGAATGTCCAGCGTCAGTCACATGTTCCGCCTGTGCTCCTATTTGAGGAGACTCGGGTGTGCATGAACGCCTACCAGCAACTTTTAAGAACAGTCTGTCAGAACTTCATGCTGTAGGACATAAGGACATGTTTGAATGCGTATGCGGGTTTGGAAGAACATACTGATGAGAGAAAAGTCATTTAGCCTAATGCGCCGTTACCTGCATACAGTACATGCATGCATACTCAAATGAATAAATATGAATAAAAAATAAAATACATTTAAATTGACAAAATGAATGTTTGGTTCGTTCGTATTTATTATTATCAATGGTATTATTATTATAATAATTGATTTTCGTTCGCATTTAAAATAATAATCATTTATATTATTACGAATATTTTGTCCTTTATTATTATTATTATGACCTCAAGTTGAATGCGTATGTAAGTGTAGAAAGAAGGATCAGTGAGAGAAAATTAAATTAATGCGCCATCACCAACCTTCCTAAATAATAAAAAAAATGAATTTGAATAAATAAATTAAAAGTTTTTTTCGTTCGTATTTATTATTATTATTATCATACTTCATTTTTTTGGACATGAGGGCATGTTTGAATGCGTAAAAATTAGAAGAAAGAAGGATCATCGAGAGAAAATTAATATAAATAAATACGAATAAAAAATTTTTGGTTCATTATTATTATTATGATGTTGTTGTTGTTGTTGTTGTTGTTGTTAAGGGTGTTTAGTGTATTGAATACTTGGAAATATACTGTACATCCATTTATTCATTTATTTTTTTCACATCCATGCATTTGAGAAGCACATTCAATGTACAAATTCAGTACAAAAATCATATAAAATGAAACGAGAGTCGAATTAAAGCAAGAAGGTTAGGATATTTGTTACATTTCATTTTTTAAAAATAATTTTGCAGTTATATAAGCAATACAAATTAAAATTAGTTTGATTTCCCTGCCTTAGACTTGTATTAATAAATAATCTTCATTAATGGGGCCAAAAAGTCATTCATAATTTCCTGAGGATGGTACAGTTGTTTTTCTATATGCAGGCATGTGTTGGCACTTCATGTCCACATGGACATCTAGTGGATGTCAGAGGAATTACCTCTGTTTATTCTGTTCTTTCCCGCGAAAACTTCAGACGATACCAAACAGCTGATGGGATTCGTTTATGTAACCCGTCCTATAATTGTAAGTCTGCCATTAAGAACGTTTGGAAAAAAAATGTTTATTGTAATTTTAAACATCCTTAATTGGGATTGTATTGCTTAATCTAAGAAATAACGAGTTGTATATGATTTAAGCACACACGTGTCTCACTTCCCCCCCTCTCGACTGATAGTGAGGAGCGTATTGTTGGTTGGTCAAAATTTCCCCGCGATATTTACGTCACGGACAGTTTCGCGCCACCATTCACTTTTGAAGGGAAACGGTGCGTACGGTAAGTGTTGTGTTTCTGTATAAAGTCACCGTGCTTGAAAGTAGACGTAATCACGATAACCCTAAAAAAAAGGTATCGGTCAATTGGACGTTGACTTAGTAAGCTTATAATTAAAAATAATAGATATTCTGGTTAAAATACTAAGTTATGTCATTGTTGTGGGTGATGCAGCGTGCTGCTAGTTGACTTCGAGTATAAATGTAGCAACTCAAAATGTGCATCCTTCATGCTTTCCTAATAAAACTCACAATTCCTTTCTCAAATGTGCTTACTAAATAAATGTGCTATGTAGTTTAAATATTAATACGTTTTTATACGTGGACAGTTATTATATCTATCTCTGGGCATCTCATGTAAGCATTAAACTTGTTTCAGTATTAGTTGCCAAAATGTGTCTTCTTGTTGATTGGTTATTTATTTATTGGGCCATGAGGTAATGAGGTAACCAATAAGTGTTTTGTGATGCATTGCCATTTTACAGTGTTGTGACAAAGACCGTGATTTAATTTCTTTGATTCTTGGGAAAAAATAAAAAATGAGGTCTGCTGTCATAGTATAAAAATAACTTTTATAATATAACTCTTATAATATTTCTATAACTTTTATAATTATGACAGGTTATAATAACTTAATCATTAGTTATTATATGTCATAAGTCATTAACATGTTAAATGACATTTTCAGTTTCATATATTTTGAAGTAGTCTGTGTATGAAACATAAACATGCAACTATTTGAGTTTTACATGAACTAAATTTAATGTTAGTACACATTCAAAACTAAGGAATTTAATATTTAACATTAAAACGTAATAATATATAACAATAAATGTAGTAAATATTATTCATTTGAATGAATTTTGGTTCCAGCTTACTAATTTTGAGATTTAACCTTTCAGTTTTGAGTCGAGATGTTTTCACCATCATCCCAGAGCCGTAAGAGAGACCCTCCGACCCGTGAGTTGCGTTGATTTTAATGCACACACATACTGGCATGCATGTAGTGTGTTTTCTAATCAGATTCGGGCAGGTTTGTCTTTGACAGTAGCTGCATGTGAACGGTTTGTGTGTGTTTGCAGCCGCGAGTGAGGACCCTCTCTCCCCTCCGTCACAGCGGTCGAGAGCTCATGACACGT